ATCAGCAAGGAATCCACAGAATGGAAAGGCGGCGATTTGACCAAGGTTGTAGATGATAAAGATGATACCAGTGCTCGATCCCTCGCCAGTCAACCCGAAGGTGTTCTGGTAGGCTTTCATCGCGTTGATGGATCCCATGAGGGAGCTGTCGAACCCGTTGAGCGTAGAGACGAGGTAACCAACGCCCATGATCATGTAGAGCTGGATCATGCCGCGAGACCATAGCTTCGGCTTCTCTGCCTCAAGAGCAGCGGCTGTATGCTGTCAGCGCATTCCTCCATTGTCTCAGACATGATTTTGACTTACTGAGAGCTACCGAAGCGACATTGGCCTCCTTGACGTTCGCATGCTTGTTCATGTCGTCGTCAACTGCACTCAGCTGGTGCGTCACAGCGCCCATGTCTTCACTCTTCTCCGCCATCTTGAATGTGTCGCTGGCAAGGACTGGAGAAGATCTGGAAGTGTGGAGCAGAAAAACGGGAAAGCTCTCCACTTGATGGCCGATTTGCAACGATGCGCAAGCTTTCCGGAATACTGGGTCTCTTTATAGTATACAGGCTTCTCCGCAAAACAAGTAGCGCCTGCAGGTAATCTTACCCCATGGCACCGAGGCATATGCTCTACCTTCCTGACCCGATGCATGGTTTCTGCTCTGCATGCAAACTGTTGCGCTCAGGCGCCACCCGGTTGGCCAAGTATGCTTGTTGTACGGCAATAGCACCGCATTAGGGGCGGAATATTAGCGGGATTACTGGGAAATTTTCAACTTCCAAGCTCGCTATACCACGATGGTACCAAGGCCAAGTAATAGGGCCTTCTGCAGGGGCGGGCCCAGGTCCAGAAGCAGGCCGGTTAGCGGACGGACCTCCCAAATTGTACCAGCTCTGGAGCGCCACGCGCGAAGTCTTTACGAAGGAGATGAATCAAGAATTGAGCCGGTCGGGTTGGCATTGAGTCGCGATGAACCAGGCGAGGGTTAATGTGGTGTAGCTGGGCTGGGCAGCGGAGTGCGGGGATGGATTCCTGGAGTAAAGCCAGCCGAGTTGGGCAGCCGCCCCGTTGATCAGACCCCTTGGAAAGAGAAACCAGACACCTACCTCTGCAAATACAGTCGTAAGAAATTTAATAAACCTGCAGTGCCTCTATGTGTTATAGAAACGCGTTCGGAAATCATCACAAGCTGTAAAGCGCCTGTCCAAAGTTTTCCAAGGTTCCCTTCAACGGAGTCGGAGTGATCAAGCGAAGAACCCCCGCTCGCGCTTGCGCCCGGACGTCGCCCCATCAACCCCCGATGCGAGCCCTCCCCAGCTCCTACATGCAACATGCGCCGTTTATTGCCGACACGTTCCTTAGTCCTGTCACCTGAGAAGCAGATGGAACGTCCTCTTGGCATCTACAACATGTGGGCGGACGGCTTCCCTGATCAGTCCAAGTCGCGCTGCCTACCGCAGTACCGCCGCCTTACTGTGGGGTGTCGACAACTGTATCAAAGATAGAGGACGTAGAGCAGTGGTTCGTGGAAGTACCATCAACTTCCAATTCATCCATCATGTCTTCAGGTCAACACCCAGCGAGCGTTCCAGACTGGAACAACCTCGATATCCTCCACAAGAACACGCTGCCTGCGCGCGCATACTTTCACAACTACGCATCGGAGGCTGATGCGCTTAGTTCCGATGTGAACAAGTCTACAACCCACAGCCTCTCCGGCACGTGGAAGTTCCAGCATTCATATTCGCCTTTTGAGGCTCCGGAAGGATTTGAGTCCACTACATTCGACACATCATCATGGAGCGACATTGCCGTGCCAGGCATGTGGCAGCTGCAGGGCTTCGGCAAAGGCCCGCAATATACCAACGTAATCTATCACATTCCGGTTGATCCTCCCAACGTGCCTTTTACCGAGAACGAGACTGGATCCTACGTTCGTAAGTTCAAGGTCCCGAAGGATCTCCAGGACGGTCAGCTTCGACTCCGCTTTGAAGGTGTCGATGCCGCTTTTCACGTCTGGGTGAACGGTAAAGAAGTTGGCTATTCCCAGGGTAGCAGAAACCCTGATGAGTTTGATATTACTTCGTTCGTCGACCTCAATGCCGAGAACACCCTGGCTGTTAGGGTGTACCAGCATTGCGACGGAACGTACATCGAAGACCAAGACCAGTGGTGGCTGAGTGGCATGTGAGTATGGTCTGTTGTCGAGATGAACTGAAACTCATCATCATAGATTCCGTGACGTCTTCCTTGTTGGCTTCCCCAAGGCTTCCCGAATCGAGAACGTCTTTGCCCAGACGCTTCTGGATTCCTCCTACACTGATGCCGAACTCAAAGTCAAGATCAGTGCGACTGGCTCTGGCAAGGTTGCAGTAAAGCTGCTGGATGCAAAGAAGCAAGAAGTCGCCTCATCCGAGGCGGATATCAAGGGTGACGGTGTGACTGAACTCAGTATACAGGCCAAGGACCCACTCAAGTGGACTGCTGAGTCGCCAAACCTCTACCATCTTGTGGTCTCTTCCGGCGATCAAGTTATTGTTCAACGCATTGGTTTCAGACAAGTAGAGATGAAAGATGGACTTATCAAAGTCAACGGTAAGAGAGTCGTGTTCCGCGGAGTCAACCGCCATGAACATCATCCCACTCTTGGTCGTGCTGTGCCGTACGAGTTCATGAAAGAAGATCTTCTCCTCATGAAGCGTCACAACATCAACGCGATCCGTACATCTCATCAGCTCAACGACCCACGACTGTACGACCTGGCAGACGAGATGGGTTTCTGGGTCATCGATGAAGCAGACGTGGAATGCCATGGATTCGAAAGTATCGCCGATGCCGCGCTTTCGAAGGAAGAGCGTAATCTGCCGTTCCGTGAGCGTCAGCTTATAACTAGGGATAAAGCCGCGGAATGGACGACCGACAACCCAGACTGGACGAAGGCGTATGTGGACCGTGCGGAAGCACTCGTTAAGAGAGACCAGATGCATCCATCGATCATCATTTGGTCTCTTGGCAACGAGGGTTTCATGGGACGAAACTTCGTGGCCATGTACGAGCACATCAAGAAGTACGACGACAGCCGGCCTATTCACTACGAAGCGGATATCTACGCAGACACCATGGATATGTACTCCAGGATGTATCCCCCGCTTGACGAGATTATCAAGTTTGGTCAAGACAAGGAAAAGAAGAAGCCACTGGTGCTTTGTGAATACGTAAGTTACGCCATGTTTATCCTTAGTTATATGACTCACCGTAGTAGATCCACGCCATGGGCAACGGCCCCGGTAACATCAAAGAGTACATCGATGCCTTCTACAAGTACCCAACCTTACAGGGAGGTTTCGCTTGGGAATGGGCGAACCACGGTCTTCTCACCAAGGACAAGCAGACCGGCGAAGAATTCTACGCCTATGGTGGTGATTTCGGCGAGGAGGTTCACGACTCAACCTTCGTCATGGACGGTCTTGTCAACTCCGATCATTCGCCCAACGCTGGTTTAATCGAGTACAAGAAGGCTATTGAGCCTGTACAGCTTCTAGAAGTGAATGGTTCAAAGGCCACGTTCATCAACCGTTACGACTTCATTACGCTCGATCACTTGGTCTGCAAATACACATCAGTCTCCTCTTCATCCTCTGATGGGGTTACTGGAGATCTGCAAATTCCTTCTGGTATCTTGCCTGGCCAAACCTTCGAGGTGCAACTTCCTACGATCGAAGCTCGCGAGGAGGAGGTTTTGGTTAGCATCTCGTTCCAGCTGAAGGAGGCTACACCATACTTGAAGGCAGGCTTCGAGATTGCAACAGCACAGGTACCTGTGACTCCGGTGTCGTCCTTGAAGAAGCCTCAATCATCAGGCAAGCAAGTCACTGTTGAGACACCATCCCGCAACACCCTCAAGATTACGACGGATCAAGCCACCTGGGAGTTCAACACGCTCCACGGCAGTCTCACCTCCTGGAAGCAAGGCTCAACCGAACTTATCTCCAAAGCGCCTGAAATGGACATCTTCCGCGCTCCTACCGACAACGACATCCCACAAGACGGTTGGGATTGGAAGGACAAGCAACTCCACCACGCAAAGCCATTGACCCGCAAGGTCGAGTGGTCACAATCAGGCTCAGACACTTTCAAGGTCACCGTGCATCAACGCGTCGCACCTCCCGTCCTTTCATGGTCCATCGACTGCGTTCTCACATACACATTCAGCGCCAACGGCACCCTATCCGTCCACGTCACCGGCACACCCAAGGGCGAGAACCTACCCCGCACCCTCCCCCGCATCGGCCTCGTCCTAGAACTCCCCGCGCAATTCCAACACGTCGAATGGTTCGGCCGCGGCTACGGCGAAACCTACCGCGACAGCAAGCTCTCCCAGCCCGTAGGCAAGTACACAGCCTCCAGCATCGACGCCCTCTGGGTCGACTACGAAGTACCCCAAGAATCGGCGAACCGCACAGATACCCGCTATGTCAGCGTTACGAATGGTAGCGGCGCGGGATTGCTCGCTCAGTTCGCGGATAAGAAGGGTGGGCAGAGGAAGTTGTTTGACTTCCAGGTTAGCCATTATAGGATGAAGGATGTTGCGGCTGCGGACCATCCGCATGAGTTGAGGAGGAAGAAGAGGGAGGAGGTTGTGCTGAGGTTGGATGCGGAACATCATGGTTTGGGGAGTGGGAGCTGTGGCCCGAGGACGCTGGATGAGTATAGTTTGCTGTGCGAGCCTTTTGAGTTTGAGGTTGTGTTGCAGGCACCGTAGATAGGTATCGTGGGTATACAATGAACGTTATCATAGTTCACTTGCTAGACTCTTTGTTCGAATTTCCGATGTCGCGCGTTGATGGAGGCGGGTCGCGGTAACCTTGCGGACGTCCTTCCACGTGCACTCCGCTCTTGCTCTCACCTGCACCTATCGCGACTGCCGAATTTTTACCCCACCCCACCCACTGTTGTCTATTTCGCATATCGCACACCACTTGACTCTCAATCCCCTCAAGGCTAGCATCATGGTGAGAACGAAGAAGCGACGAGTAAGTACTGACGCGACTGCACCGCAATGATGACCAAGCTAACAAATAGCAGAAGTCGCAGTCGCCAGCCCGCGGTACCACTTCAAAGCGCGCACGTGTGAGCTCACCTGGGGTCTCGCAACGCACCCGACACGAAGACCATGATCCGCATTCGTCACGCGCCGGATCTGTCAAAGATACATACTCGGCCCAGAGGCAAAACGGCTCAACATCACTTCCCACTGGAGAAGACTGGGTGTTTCGCGTGAAGGTCATCTCGTCCGCCACAGACTTGAGAGATGATCTGTTCAGGAATGCGGTACAAGGACTCGTCCGGATATGTTTCCCTGATGGTATCCTGGACCAACTGGGACCTCAAGTACTGGAGCAACATATGCGCGAAGAGAACGCGCCTGAACGAAACATCGAGAGAATGTCGGAGATTTTCCAGTCTGAGATGACGCAGCGCATGGCTTCAATGCTCGCTTTGCATCTCGACACGGCTTCGAAACTCGATACAGTGGTGAAGAACCTGCTGGTAGCTAGTGCAAGAGCTCATGGGAATGATTTTGGAGATGACGTTTTGGGTCACCTCACCGCTAGTTTACTCAAGCTGAAAACTAGAACTTCTGGACACTCGACGGAATGGCTAGCCGGAAGTGACGCGGCACAAGAGGTGGACAGTGACGGCAGAGATACGAGCAACAGCGACGATTCAGAAGCAGAACCTACACCACCACCGAAATCAACGAAGAAGAAGAACAAGAGGCATGAAAAAGAGGTGAAGACAGGACGGTCAAGTGATGAGGTTCATGTCGCAAAACCTGCGAAAACGCATAGCAGCTCGTCAGCAGCCCTGCGTCAGCAACGTATTCAGAGGAGAAGAGACCGGAAAATCTCTTCAAAGTGGCAATGGGACGCCAATGCACAGGAACTCTCAGACAACGCTATAGCTCGGATCTTTTCACGCACCAGCGATCTGTTTGCTTATCATGCGTTACCTATCTCGAAACGAAAGCTTGGGCCTGATGCAACATTGAGTCAGCTTGGCCGTGAGATGCAGTCTCTACTCGACGATATGCCAGCTGAGGAGTTCGAAAAATGGGTCGAGAGCTTACAGAAGCTGCTCGATGGCGACCGCGACATGTTAGAGCGACAGGAGATACGCACGTCGGCAGACCAGCAGCAGTCGACTCGCGCAACGCCCGCACCTATTGAAACACGAAGACGCTCTCGGAAGGCTACAAAAGATACATCAGACAGTTTATCATACCCGGGCTCCGATCCAGATAGCGCTAGCAGACCCTCGCGTCCGGAGGCTGTTGTCAAACTCGAGGCTGTCACCAACCTAACAAAACTACCCGAGAACGATCAAAGAAAGTCGTTATCGGAAGCTACGACTACCTTTCGAAATCCTGCAACAGAAAAGCGCCTTGTTCAGGCGGCTAGGCAAGTTATAGAGGAAGTGAAGGGACGGAAGACTCGGAGTCATGGAAGCCAACTGGATGAAGTGAGTCTTTTTGTGATAGTGTCTTGAAATATACTAATCGTTGTCAGGCCCCATGGGTTGAGGACCAGATTCCGATAACGATGCTGCTTTGGGGTAAGAGCAGCGTTACCCGGTCTCAGCGCCTAGACATTGCACGAACCATCATGGACAATTTACACCGTCGGAGCCCAGCTGATGTAAGGCTTTTCTCTTTAATCGATATGTCCCAGCTGATTCGGTTTAGTGCATCCGAACCACGGAGGTAGACGGCACGAATGCGACTCTAACAAAGACAAATCTCGAAGATGCTATCGTTGGCGCCTTTCCTGAGCCTGGGTTAACATTCAGCTTTATCAATACGTTGAAAGTCATTGAACGTAGCTTGATACCATGGGTGGTCGTAAATCTGAGCGCTTTCCCTGAATTCAGGACGATGGCTGTCATATTTATCAACCTAATGGTGGTAGGACGTACTCGAAATATTTTTTCAACAATGGCTTATAACATTTAGGACCTACCGATCATAATAAATTTGCTTTTTGGTTCCTGGTCTGCGATATCCACGTTGAATGGCCTTCAAGCCTGGGATAGCCTCTCACAGGTTCTGCGAAGACGGGGTATATCCGAAGTACTTCACTCTGTTCGATAACATCTCCATTCGTGTTGCTAACTCATGATAGGCTACAGCAACCGACTGCCAGATCAAGTTTAAGCATATCAAGAACCTGTTCAAGGATCAGCCCGCTAAAGAGCACGTCAGACTTCACATATTTGAACGCAACTTGCGTCGTGTAGCATTCCATCACAGAGCAAGGTTCCCAGAGCTGAAGACTACGCGTGTCGTAACGGCGTGGGAGAGAAAAACGGGCTTGACATGGTGAGCCCAGACGGTTGTTACCAACGCGCTGTGTCTTTCTGGCATGTTTTCAGCCGACGATGAATGAGGGGATCGGTGTTCATCCAAACCTGATACACCACGGACAGATTTGCGAGCAACGTCCCATCGGGCTCAATCAATGGGTACTATATGTCGCGCGGATTTTCGAACACGGAGTCGGGATATCCTAGGCCGGAATGATGGTGTCTACAGGTGACGGATCATGAGCTGATGACAATGCGCAATTGGCTGATTGTTTTTTAGCTTGTGAGGAATCTCTCCAATAGCAATCCCATCAAACTTGTTTCGCATCCATTCTAAATAAAGTACTGTCAGATTGGGAAGCCTGCTAATCTCACGACCAAGACGTGCGTGCAGTAGGCTCTGCATGCGCAAGGCATCGACATCCACAGCAAACCATCACTCCACCAGGACAGAAAGTACGACAACACGAACTAGACATCATGTCATGGACCAGCAACGTAAAACCAACTTCAACTTCAAATTGTACACAAAACGCGATTATACTACAAGTCTATAAATTACGCCACTAACCCAAAACCCTACCAGCAGTAGAAGCCGTGCTGCGGTCCTTAGTCTCCACCTTCCTCAATCCCTTACCCGCAGTGATCTCACCAAGTAAAGCTCCACGGTTTGGTGCTCCACCCGGGGCCTTCATGCTAGGCATTGGGGGTGGCGGTGGTGCTCCACCAGCCGGAGGTGGCGGCGGGCCAGGTGGAGGCGGAGGTGCACCGTTCGAGGGCATTGGTGGAGGTGGGGGGATGCCTGCTGGAGGCGATGTCACGGCTGGGCTCTCGGCACGTGGGCTCTTATTGTCCATGGAGGAGAGAGGGCGCGGTGGTGCCATGGTGCCGAAGAGCATGGAGGCTAGCTGCTTGGCTCCACCTTGAGTCGGGGCTTCGTCGTCGTCGGACGAATCGTCATCTGAGTCGACAACGGACCAGTCATCGTCGTCTTGCCTTCCCAATCTGCGCGCTGAAGGTGCGGCGGGCTCGTTGAACGTAGGCATGGCAGCCTTGTTGGCATTCTCTTGTGTCAGACGGTGGAAGGGGTTCGTGGAAACCTCGCTCGTGTTGCTGGGTGGGGGTGGAGGTGTAGAGACAGTGCTGTTCTCCTGGTTGGACATGGCCATCTTCTTCAAGAACGGGTTCTTGGTTTCAGTGTCGCCCATGCCGGGGTGAGGACTAGTCACCGAGGACGTAGGCGGGCTGGCGATAGATGAGGGTGGTGTGTTGTGCGAAATCTGGGGCATTGGTGGCGCTTGAGGAGGTGCAGTGTCACGCGGCAACTCCTGGCTGGCGGTAGGGGTGGTGTCTTGAGGCGTGATGTTTTGAGGGCCATCATCATCCGACGACTCGTCATCGTCGAGCGCCTCAAGCTGCATCTGTAGCTGACGTTCGCGTTCACGAGCAGCTTCGATCTCCGCACGCTGAGCAGCCAGTCGGGACTCCTTCTCCTTGGCGTCCTTGGAAGCAGCCGCTCTACGTTTCTTCTCTTCGGCCTTCTTGAGTTTGCCCTGCTGGACTTGCTCTTCCAGGGCGCGAAGTCTGGCTGAAGCAGACTCGCGCTCCTTGGCCAATTCGTCCTCTTGTCTGCGTTCCTCATCCCTGATATTTGTTAGCGCAAGTTCAAAAGATAGATCGAGGTATACGTACTCCATGCGCTTCGTCTCGGCCTCTTGGGCCTCCTGCTGTTCGCGGATAGCCTTCTCAGCCATGTCGTTGTCTGCCTTCTTCGACTCTGCTTCCGCTTGCTGAACGTCGTGCTGCGCAATCTCGTTCTTGTTCTTGCGCGAAGCTGGCGGTGGGGGCGCTGGCTTCTTACCACTGCTCTTGGATGGAGCGGGCGGTGCTGCAGATTCGTCATTGAGACGTCTTTGGCGCTCTTCCTCACGACGCGCATCCTCTTCTTCAGCCTGGCGTAGCTTCTCTTCACGTTCCTTCTTCTCACGGTCGGCACGCTGCTGGGGTGTCTCGCCAGCCTTTACTGGAGCTTTAATGCCCAAAGCAGCCAGACGCTCGGCCATTCGCTGCTCAGCCTGCTGTTTGATGAAGGCCGCACGCTCCTCTGGAGTCTTGTATGCCGAGTACGAGCCACCGGCGGGCGTAGTCGTTGATGCGCGAGGAGGGGGCTCGACACGACCAGCCGGACTCTCATAGCGTGATGACGATGGTCGGTTGTCCTCTACACGAGCAGCTGATCTAGACCTGTAGTTGTCGCGAGACGAACTGCACGGAATTAGCATGATGCCTCTTGATACTAATCGAATAGTACTTACTCGTCTTTACGGATTCGCGAAGCGCGACTGCTGCGCTGTAGATCAAAGATGAAGTCCTTAACGTCATCTTCAACACCCAGAGCCTCCTCCCATCTACGACGTTCGTGTTCGCTTGTGTTGTCGTGTCCTCCCTCTTTCAGGCTTGACTCCAGGCCCCTCGTGTATTCGTTCACGCTGTCTTCGACGTCGCGGATCATGCGTTCATTGTTCTCTCTTTCTGCTCGGATGCGCGAAGTTTCCTTTTCTAAGCGCTCGGTTGCTGCGCCAGTGTCATCACTGGCAGGAGCAGGCCTTCCTGTCAAGGCAGCAGAGCGTGCTTGCATCATGGCCTTGGCGCGGGCTTTCAAGCGATCCGATTCAGTTACGGCACCGCCAGGTCCAGTGCCCACGATGGTAGATGCAGATCCGGGATGCGCTTTGGCGTCTCTGAGTCTAAAGAGCTCGAGCTGGGCGTCTGCGATCTCACGCTCAGTTCGGCGCACGTTGGACGCAAGTTCAGGCAGGCGATCAGTCAAGGTCTGGAGTTGGCGCTTCAGGGCACGACGCTCCGCATCCGAGTCAGTTGATCTCAAGGAAGCCTTAGGGTGAGCATCAATGTCTTCTTGTACCCTGCGAATGCGGCGATAGAGATCTTCAGCCTCTCGGCGATCTCGACGGTCGAGCGCATCATCCTCGTCAGCGGCATTCTCGTCTTGTGTGTCCATGGCATCCAACAAGATTTGCTTCTCTTTGACTGACTTCCTGAGCTGATCAAGGGACATTTCATCAGACCGTTCAGAGGATGGTGAAGCCGGCTGCGCTGGTGAAGGCGAGCGACCACCACCCCCGAGGCGATGTCTGGCGCTCGACTTGTAGCCTACGTTATCGTCATTGTTACGGAATACCGTAGCATCCTTTCGGCCGCCAGCTTGTGGGCTACCAGCACGGAACGAGTGAGACTTCAAGTAGCTGACACCAGTGCGCTGGGGCTGGAGGAAGGCACCAGAGTTCTTCCTGTCCTCGGCATCTCCACGCAGCAAGTTCTTCATTGCGCCAATAGAGTCATTGATGTTGCGCGTAGAAGGGGGTACCAGCTCCGGGGGGAGACGGGCTGGAATGGGATAGCCGTTGAGCTTACGGTAGATCAAATGCATGGCAACGGCGAATTGGTCCAAATCAAGACGACCCCTGTCAGCAGAGTCGGCAAGTGTCCATATGCGCTCCAAATCTGGCTTGGGCAATCCACTCTGTCCAAAGATCTCAAGAGCTTGCGCTCCGCTAATGTATCCCTTGGTCATGCCGTCCCAGGCCTTGAAGGTGTCATCGTACAGCTTCTTCTCTCCCTTTGTGATAGCCCACGGAATTGTCGCGTTACCGGTCAAACCAGCAGTCGTATGGTTGCCGCCCTCTCGGCCCGTCTGGGGCATCATTCGTTGCGCCAAAGCCTCGATGTTTGGTAGTCCGGTGGCAGGGGTGTTCGCTAGGCCCCACTGACCAGGCATGCCCGTGGGCTGAGCGTTGAGAGGAGCCATGCCGGTCTGGTTGGGCGCAAGGTTTGAGCCGAAGCCAGTGGGCATGGGAGGCATCGGCGGACGTGGTCCGTTGTAACCACCTGGAGCTTGTCCGAAGCCAGTGGGCTGTGGCTGCATACCCGTGGGCTGCTGGCCGAAACCGGTAGGCTGTGGTTGCATGCCTGTTGGTTGCTGTCCGAAGCCAGTCGGCTGTGGGGCTAAAGAGCCCAGCAACTGGCTGTTCGAAGGCTGTGGCTGTGGCTGCTGAATCGTAGGAGGCTCGAACTTCGGAGCATTGCTTGCCGGCGTTTGGCGGTTCGACGATTCGTCCACGACTCCAAACGATATAATGTCCACCATGCTAGAGACCTCATTCTTGACTCGCTCGGGAAGGGAGTTGGGCAGATCCTTTCCGGTCAGCTTGAGATTGCACAAGTACATGGCGAGGGCGAATTCGGGGAAGAGGAGCTGGCCAGACTTGGTCGTGTCCGCAAGGGTCCTGCGTCTGTTAGAATCGGGCCACGTATGCGATTTGTGCAACATACCAGATGTGCGAAAGCGCGTCCCCAGACAGCTTGGAGCGCATCAGGAGATCCCGCGCCTGGTCGCCAGACAGGGCCTGGGAGTCTCCCACGGCCGACTTGAACAGCTGCTCGAACTTGGCCTGGTCTTGCGCCGTGATGAAGGAAAGCCTTATGCTCGGGATTTTGCTGCTCTTGGCCGGGACGGGCGGTGGCACGGAAGACGCAGAGTTGCCGCGGAATGAATCAGCCATCTGCGCCGATGTCATGCCTGTGGGCTGCGGCCGCTGCGGTTGGGCAGGCGGTTGCTGTTGCTGCTGTTGCGGCGGCGCGCCAGTCTGGAAGGGCATCTGCTGGGGAGCCTGCTGCTGCTGCTGGAATTGCTGGCCCTGCTGCCCTGGGAAGCCCGTGTACTGCGGTTGCTGCGGTTGCGGCTGCTGTCCGAAGCCCTGCGGCTGGCCCGGGAAGCCAGTAAACTGTTGTTGCATTGGCTGCATTGGCCCTCCTCCGAAGCCCGTCGGCTGAGGTGCCAGTCCGCCCTGGAAGCCGCCGGGCTGCTGGAAGGGCTGCTGTTGCTGCTGCTGCCCATACTGAGGCTGCCCCGGTCGGGCACTGTTCCCACCCCCTAAGTACGAGTTGGACCCAGAGAACATGGTGGGCGAGGTGGCGCGGGTCGATTAGAAAAGGAGAGATGCGCGCATGCGGTGGAAGAATTAGAAAGGTCTAAGGAGCGCGCGCGGGCGGGAATGGTGAAAGGTGGAATGGGGTTGGTTGCGAGTCTGTGCAGCTTGCAGCCCTGGAGATCCATGGGTAGGTTCGCGCTAAGGTCCGTCAGTCGTCATCTTCGAGGACGCGCTTGCCTCCTCGGCAACGGGCGCCCGCCATTCACGACTTCCTGCACCATCTCCACAATGTCGGATGCCCAGAACGGAACCGGCGCTGGTCCGCAGTCACAGGCCGAACTCGCCCAAGTAAGTTTGCGCAAGTCCCTCTGTTCTGAGTGTTAACAGCTCTGGTAGGCGTTCAAGGACCTGCAGCGAGGCGAACAGACCGCCGCCGCCTTGGAGAACCACCTCGATTCCATCGAAAAGCAGATCGAGGCGCTTTTGGCCCAGGCTGAGAAGGCTGAGCAGGAGCTAAAAAATACTCCGGAAGAGGACGAGAAGCCTTCGAGCGAAGAAAAGGGCTCTTCATAATGTCTACCCAGAATGCGCCTGCCATAAGATGTATGCGACATACGCTCGGATATACTTTCTTGAGATATGAGAAAGCCGCCACATGACGTACGGGCAACATGACCGACGGACACGAGTTTCACGAGCAATTTGGACGTCGTTGGCGAGGCAGGACATAAGCATACATAATGTGCTCTTAGCAGAAGGGACAGTTCCAAGGATGGATTGATGAAGTGGAAGGACGATTGGCGCTTCCAAATATCCTAAAAACTTGTCTATAAGCCACCGACAGTTGAGGGCTTTACTTCGGACCCCTGCGTCTTGAAGACCTCGTCCAAATGGAATACACCATTACTGTCCTTCTCAACCACGCCTACCTCGGTGATGATGCCATCAATGAGCTCCGCAGGCGTGACATCGAAGGCTGGGTTCCACACACCGATACCATTTGCCGCAATGCTGATAGTTTCGACAACACCCAGATCCAATGTAACGCCATCATGTCTAGGTCCCTTGACAAGTGTCACTTCCTGTCCGGGGCGTTCTTCGATGACAATGTCGGCTCCCGATTTGGTCTTCAGGTCGATGGTAGTTCTTGGTGCGGCAACGAGGAACTTGACACCGTGATGCTTTGCAAGAATGGCCAATGAATAAGTTCCAATTTTGTTGGCGGTGTCACCGTTCGCAGCCACCCGGTCGGCTCCAACCACGATACCCGCGATGTTCTCGCTCTCACCGCGAAGTCGGAGTAGCGCTGCCGCCATGGAGTCAGTGATGAGAGTTGCCGGTATCTTGTCGTGAACCAATTCGAACGCAGTCAGCCTAGAGCCCTGGTTGTAAGGTCGTGTCTCAGAACAGAAAGCGTGCTTCAAAGATCCATTGCCGTGCAGTGAGCGGATCACACCAAGCGCTGTGCCATATCCAGCAGTTGCGAGGGACCTGTAGGATTAGCCGCTGGATGTTGTTGATGCAGAATGGTACGAACCCTGTGTTGCAGTGTGTCATCATGCTCACAGGTCCCTTCTTTCCTGCCTCGGTGTTCTTGACTATCCACTCTGCGCCATGCTTGCCGATGCTCTCGTTGTCGCTCACATCATCAACCAGCATCTTTTCCGCAGCAGCCACGTATGCATCTCTCACGGCCTCTCCACTCGCTCCCTCACTAGCAGCAGCTTCCTTGGTAATCTTTCGAAGTTTGCCTGCTGCATCTGCAAGGTTGACGGCAGTTGGTCGGCTGGTCACAAGGTAGTCCAGCTTTTCTGTAATGAAGATCTCGACCTCCTCAGCTACCGATGAGAGCTTCATGTTGGTGAGTTCGACTGCGAGGGCGAGGGCAGCGACTATGGCGATGGCTGGTGCACCTCGCGTCCGCATCTCCTTGATGGCGTGCCATGCATCAGTGCTGGAGTAGATGTGGTCATATTCTTCGGCATGCGGTAATTTCAACTGGTCCAGAATCTCGAGCTGGCCGCGTGAGTATTTAATCGCCTGGAGTACCATTTTGAAGGATTCGTAGAATGGTGTGTCACTTGAATGCGTGGCAGAAAATTTCTGGATGGTGAGCGTTGGGTGTCAACAGCCCCATCGCGGGCCCTGACGCTAACACGTGGGAGCCGCTGAACCCAGGCATGCGTGCGGCCTCATCTAGGTTACACGACATACCCGGACAAAACATACACGGCCCACCGCCTGGCATCGATGCATCGCTGCTACTCCACGATCCCCAACTCTCGACGCTTCGGCATGACGGCACGCAATGACGAAATTTAGCCACGTGTGGCTCGGTGCCAAGGCTAGCTCCAGCCACCAAGCAACGCACCTGCCGGTATAGGCCACGGCCTCGCTGTTCTAGCCAGACCAACATGAGCTGGCCGGTATTGATAATCCACATGCATCGAGTAACGGTCTGTATTAAAGGAGGCGCACATGAATTCTGCAAGGAAGCCTTTCATCTTCACTCGAAAGTACCGCATTGCAGCCCTACGAGAGCCGCAAAAAAAGGGTCCGTCAGCTGCAAGGAACCGGCAGTGAATTGACCGCGGTTGTCCCATGACGACGCCAACACTCGGACTTCACGCATATACCTACGGCCCTCTGCGCCCAATTGCTCCTCCGCACCTCCGCTTCCGCTCACCCTCTAGATATCCCTAGTTGTTCGTCGCATAAGAACTGTGTTGTCCAACCAAGACGTTTTCGGTAACCACGCCCGTCTCTAGTTCTTCCCGATAGGCGGAGAAAAAGACCCACATCCTCACTATTTATCTTCCCCAACACCACACGCAGCGCAAGCCACCCAGCCAGAGAACATTACTGTGCACATGCGCAGACCAACCAATCGCCGCATCCTACATCGCCTTACCTCGCCGTGCCTTACTGGACCCTCGTAGTTTGGGCCCGAAATCGATTGGAAGGTCAGACGAGAGAAATCGCCACGCCTCGAACAACCCCGCGCAGCTTTGCGCCAGTTATATAACGATGCCCCTCATGCCGCGCTCCAACTCGAGCGTTGGGGTAAGCACCGCAGTCATGGCCTCCCAGGAAGAGCCCATACAGCCCTCGTACCGAGGCTACGGCACAATGGCTTCCCAGCGGCCTGCGCAACGCCAAAGACGACACTCATGGCACACACGCCCCTGCATGCAGGAAGCAGAGAACTTCCAGGTCTTGGTAAGTTATATAGGGTGCATGCGCTCAACAGTCTGCTAACAACGGCAGCTTCGTAACTTTCTCGTCGAACTTAACTGCCGCATGGACTTTCTGGAAGACTATGGCCACCTCAAATACGATGCCGGAGTTGAATACGCATACAACACACTGCTCGCCGTCCGCGAATCCTGCTCGAAAATGTCCGACGGCGCAATCGAGGCTGGACGGCGGCAGGCTTCTGTCTTCGTCGAGACCTTGGAGGGACGATACAAAGATGCAATGGAACGGAAGGAGACATTCGGGGAGAAAGTCCTGGAAGGAATAGTGCTCATGGACAACTACCTGACCGAGTTTGAGACGCGCGCATATGCTATAAGAGACGGATCCATCGGCTCCTATGCGCAAGAAGTCTATGAGGAAGGTCGGAGAAAGATGGACGAGGGAATTGAAATTGCAAAGGGCGTGGTAGACGGCGGTCTCGACAAGGCACGACGCGCGCGTGAAACGATCGAACTCCGAGTTGAGCACGCTGTGCAACAAGCCCTAGAGCGAGCAAAGGCACACGGCCTGATACGCTACGACGACCTGCCCGAGCCATGGCGAGTCAACCCACACATCCTCAAGGGCTACCGCTTCCAAGAAGGAAAGTGGGCTTGCGTCCGATCCATCTTCGGCCTGCACAACGAGCTGATTAATATCTGGACACACCTTCTCGGATTCATCATGGTGCTCGCCATTGCCTTTTACTTCTATCCTTCGAGCACCAACTTCAGCATGTCGACCAAAGCCGATATCTTCATAGCAGCAGTCTTCTTCTTTGCGGCATGCAAGTGTCTGGCCTGCTCGACCATCTGGCACACCATGAACAGCATCTCGCACCAAACGCTGCTCGAGCGCTTCGCCTGCGTAGACTACACGGGCATTTCTCTCCTCGTCGCCGCATCCATCATGACGACCGAATACGCGGCTTTCTACTGCGAGCCTGTCTCGCGCTGGTCATACATGTGCATAACAGCACTGCTCGGCATCGGCGGCGTCATCCTACCCTGGCACCCAACCTTCAACCGAGCCGACATGGCCTGGTTCCGCGTCCTGTTCTACTGCTCCCTCGCCCTGACTGGCTTCTTGCCTTTTGGCCAGCTCGCCTACACCCGTGGCCTCGAGTGGGCGCAGTACTTTTACGCGCCCATCACTAAGAGTCTACTTGTATACGTTACCGGTGCGTTACTGTACGCGAGCAAGACACCTGAGCGCTTCTTCCCCGGCCTTTTCGATTACGTGGGCTGCTCGCACAACATCTGGCATGTTGCTGTGCTGGGAGGTATCATCTTCCATTACATGGCTATGCAGACTATGTTTACGCAGGCTCTTACGAGGGCTCAGACTAGCTGCTCTGTGTACTAGGAGCATCTTCTCATGACGCCTTTCTCCATACCTCTTACTTATCCTTTCTCTTCTTCCCCTTCTTCTTGTGGAGCGTTCGGCATTGTGGAGCGAGTTGGTTGTTTGCATTGGGTAGGCGTCTGACCTATAGATGTTGAGATGATGGGTAGATGAGAAGGGTCCGGTTGGCGGACGCCATGCGGGACGCTGTATCTGAACTCATATAGACTGTCAACAATTACTACATCACGAACCCCTGAACACTGAAGCCAAATTTTGCTCACGATATGCGGTTTTTACACGTGCCATCCATTTCTGCACCTGTAACCTTTGAATCAGACACAACACGCCGGGTCTAATGTATGCCTTTCGTCATTATGACTCCCAAATGCTTCTCTGAATAAAACTACCTACCTAACATTCCCCAAACGCCATTCGCTATGCAGACA